ACTAGTCATTTATTTAGATTCATATAGGATATAAATAATGATTCCGTGTTCTACAGTAAGATAACTTGAGAGTTGTTTACTGTTGATTCGTGTGTTTTGCTTTTCCTTTTCGTTTTCATTTCTCTTCTTTGTTTCTTGTACTTCATTTACAGATGTTCAAGCGTATTTACAACAAGGGAATCAATCTACGATTCGTGTAGCCCTTTCAACTGGTGCTATGTCCAGCGACGTAGAGAAGTCCTGCTGTTCTTGGTAACGCATGAGCTACGAACAAGCCATTCACCAAGAATTTCATGTAATTGTCAATGTGCCCCTGTTCCAAGCGACCTTGTGGTCGTCGGACTTGATTAGCTTATCAATCGGCATCGATTCAACTGAAAACAGGGTGATGTGTCTGGCCGCGATGGTCAATTTAGGCAGGAGTACCTATCGGGTTGACCTCCGATTCTACAACCGCTTCCATCGCATGCCCCATCTCCCTTGGAACAATGCCATCTGAGCTATTCAACTTCATGTAACATTAGGTTATATTCCTGTATTTATCAGAATTAACCACTGATTTTGTTGGCTTGATTTTGGATGCGAATGGGCTTTCGAAATAGCCTCATCAACGTTCCCTTCGTTGTCTGCATTTTCTATTGTTTCAATAGGCGTCAACTAAAACCTGGCTACAACCAGGTATGTGTAGTATCTTCACAGATGATCTATTATACTCCAACGACCATGTCTCGCGCCCTTTGACCACAGCTCCTTCCCATTGAAAATAAGGAAGAATCACAAGGGTTCCGTGTGAACTAGGTGATAACGACAGGGTGAAAATTTTATTTTCCTAATAATAGCTCTATAAAATCAACAAATACTAGTTTGGTAAACACCTTGGATCGCCAATGTATCGTCGGATCCGTCCCCTTCAGCTTCTATAACCATGTTGGCAACCGGGTTGTGTATTTCCATAAAATGCTGCCGAAGTTTGCCGCGAGCCGTAAATGGAGGTCTTTCATAATCAGTCGGGACTATAGTTCGAAATTATTGACCGAACGGCAGAAATGATCTCTTTGTAAACTTCATTCTGATAGCTCAATTCGCATTGTGAAGCTATAGCGATGTTCCCACTCCCTCTCCTCCCATGACTTTTAATTTTTTTCAGATTGCTCACTTTCTGATCATTTTATCAAGCAAGCAATTATACATTGATTTGAAACTGTTTGAATACATCTCTCTGATATGTTTGCTTCGCTTCTCTCTCTTCTGAAGGTGTGGTAGTTATTGCAGCTGCTTTTTCCTCCTGACACTGAAAGACCATAGCCCCAAGACAGGTATGTACTGTGTAGGACTTGTTAGTATTGAGGCATCTTACCAAATTCCAATCGTATGGTGTGGAGCACACATTTCATGGTGGTATAAATGAAATCAAGATTCATGAATGGCGCTAAGTCAAGAATGTCTGAGTAATCGTGCCGTTCCTTATTATGTTGGGACTGAGTAGCACGTGTCATCTTAGCTCCTCTTGCTGATATCACCAACAGTCCTTCATATTAACTTGGGTTTTCTCACTCTTTACCCTTATGGTGGAACATCCTGTCGCCTAATCAATTCAAGAAAATGACCCTCATGGAGACCTGAGAATGGTCGGCTAATGAGCACTAGGTCTTTCTTCAAGGGAGCTGCTTGAGTGTAGTCTCTAAGGGCTACCTAAAGCTTGATCATTTCGTTTCGGCGCACAGCAGATTTGAATGACTTTGACATCATTCGCTTCTAGAAAAGGACTGAACCTTTTTTTTTACATGTTAGGAGAGTTCCGTTTCTCGGAAATTGGCAAAGTTATAAGATATAAGTGATGTGCTCGAAAAAAGCCGTCCTATCATAGCTCTCTTGACACTTTTATCAGAATAATTCTTTTTTCTAGAACTGCCCTAAGAATTCTTTTTTCTGAGATTGCCCTATGAAAAAATCATAGGGCAAAAAAGATATTCGTAACTATAGCTAGGTTGCTTCTCGTAGAATTCAGAAAACTATAGACATTACAAGAATTGATTGAACAGATCTAAAGTGTAGCGCTTCTTCTAAGAAAGAGTATGAGCATGAAACTCACATCAGAAATTCTGCCTCTTCACTAGTACAATGATGTGACACCAACTGCTGCTCTTAGTTGGTTGAAGATCGCTGTTTCCACTACAGTAATCAACTTACAGCAGAGAATTCCATTCCTCGGAGTTTAACAAAGATAGCTACTCGCCTAGTACTAGATACTCCAAAATTGTTGTGAACTGTGCTCATAAGGTGAAAGATTAGTGTAAACTGTTCTCATCACAGAAATGAATGCATATGAAAACTTTTCGGTGTCCGATGCTTCCTACAATTACGATGCCCAAATAATGAGGCGTTTTTTGGATCTTACACGGAGACGGTAAAATGGCGACAACTTCGATGACATTAACATAACATGCATTCGCACTTTTTGCGCTGAAATCCGGTTTCGATCATGTTTCGTTTGCGAATAAGATGTCGACCAATTCGGCCTAATCAATGAGCAATTGCAGTACATCCTCACACATATGTATAATGCAACTTGACTTTTACTCCTGAGAACTTCCACTCAGTCGGTGAAGATCCAACTAATGCAGCAGTTCAAGGTAATGCTGAGCCTTCATGTGCTCAGATGTTCGGTCCTGGTCTTTGCTTTCGTAGCTGTCAATTCCACCCTTTTCCATTTACCAAGTATTTCTCATCATTTCGCAAAGTTTTTTTACTTGCTAGGGCATGAGCTGATGGAAAGACGTAGTCTGACCTTGGAACCAGCCCTCTTACTCTCGTCCTGTTCTGACTGCAGTTGTCATTGAGCTCGCGTGTTAACCATTTTGCACAAGCCTCAGACGTGCTAGATTTTGGTTGTAATGTTCTTTATAAAGTACTCCTTCCTCGTTCTTAATTTTCGAGACTCTTTACGATTACCTACGAAGCAGCACTTGATCACATCTTCTCGACAAGTCTTCGTCAACTGGACTGGCACACCGGCTTGCCTCTCCTTGATCCCAGCTAGCTCTTTCAAGCTGATCTCCACAGAACCTTGTCTTTCTTTTTATCCCTTTCGGCAGCATCTAGAGTATTGTTCTTTGGCCGCCGGCATCTTTCCCGAGCATTGCACGGTCTTCTTCTTGATTCCCTGTACCCTAAGGTTCACTACATTCATCGTAAGCTCTGGTACTTTGTGATGACTGTCTTTTGATTTCTTGTTCTTACCTTTTACGAAGAACGTATTACAGATGGCTGAATCGTCGGCTACAAATGAATTCACCATTGAGGGTATCTATTCCTCGTCTTTTATTGAGTAATCGTTTCACTGATCCCGTATGTCCTTGTGAGCCCTCACCTTTGGCTAACAATTACCGTTTGAGTCGACTGCACCTTCTACAGAAGTCCTACTCCTATGTCTCAAGCAACCGGTTTGCAGATGTAGGTTCAATGCTGTTCATTACCGTTGCTTCGAGTCTAGCTTCGCAATCGTCTTACTGTCGTTATTCTGTTACCAGCGAAACCCGATCTTTGGAGAGCTCATTTGGCGCCTTAAATGCTTCACTTCGTATGGTATCTTCCTTAGGCCCTAAATTTTACTACCTTCTCAGATGTCTTTCGAAGTGTTTCATACTCAGCATGTTTGGGGTTTATGGGAGGGTAGTGGGTATGCGGTAGAGGGGAGGAGGTGAGGGAAAGTGGGGGAATGGAGGGGCAGGTATACGGCTTGGACATTTTGGCATTCCATCATTCATTCTGGCATCCTCTCAAGGCTTACTTGTTAGAGCGATCTTTTCACTCTGAGATCCCTAGCATTCCAAAAGGGCCAGGGAATGCAATTTATCAGAGGATCACATTCATTAAATGTTTTCGTTTTCATTAAACTAACCAGTTTCCAGCAGATACAACAGTGTTCCATGATTGACTGCTATCGGTGCATCCTTCCCTTCTTCTTCATCTTTTTTCGTCTTTGTTACCTACTTCTTCCGTTTTTTTTT